TCATCTTCAGTGTTCCTGGCTTGGCTGTTTCAAACCAACCCTCCTTTTAGCCCTAGCATCCCTGCAACATATGTGAGCAACTTAGAAATTTGAACACAAGTGCTTTTTCCTCACTAAGGACAGAGACCTAGCTCCTGCATTCATACCAACCCCAGATTCTGAGATAAATTTTCCAAGATGCTGTTCACAGGGTTGGTTTGAAGCAGGTAAGCAATCATGCATTCAGGGTGCTTCAGAAACTGTTCATTTCCTCCCTTTTCTACAGAGCTCACAGGACACTAGGTGTATTCTTTTATTTCTGGCAGTTTGCTCCCAGGACTTAGCAAAGAGTGATGCAAAGGGATATTCCTCTCTGATGGGTGACTCAGCACACTAAAAGATGGATGCTTGATGTGTAACCCAGAGGAGCTGTGGGGTGCACTATGGGAGTAGCTAACACAGGTAAACACCAAGGCCTGCAATGTTCCAATCTGTTGTCTATGTGAGTCTGGAAACCAGCACCTGTCTCTGCCTTTTTCTTTGATCCTCTTGACTCTGCTGTCCCCATCTTGGACCTGGGGAAGGGACTCCACTCTGCTAACTCCTTAGGATGTCTGTGTTCACCCGCAGCTATCTAGTAGCCCAATCCTACATATCCCTGCAATGACACGAAACCTGTACCCATAAGCAGCTTTGCTGTCGAAAGCAGTGATTCATGAACCCAATTACTGCTTTGTGTGATTTTCTTATAAGTTATCTTCTGTGAGTGACTCTCCAGGATTGAAATACTTTAATGATATCTTGTGGCTCCTTCATGTTTAGTTACATGCTTAATTCTTTAGGTCAGTAATTCTCAACCTTCCCAATGCTGTGGCCCTTTAATATAGTTGCCCATGCTGTGGTGACCCCAATCATTTTCCTTGTTGTTTCCTAATTGTGATTTTGCTACTATTATGAGTCATAATATAATATGTTTGTTTTCCAGTGGTCTTAGTAAATGTCTGCAGTCCCCAAAGTAAAGGGGGCTGCAACCCACAAGTTGAGAACCACTGCTTTAGGTAAGGCTTGTGATTGTGGAGTTTCTACACAATTTTCCCATGGGACTCTGCTCATCATAGTTATTAGATGGGAAACCTACCTGTACACAGATTTTCCTGAGGGATTTCTTGGTCAGCATGAACACGTCCACACACAGGTGCATTCACAGTCACAACAGTCACATGCAGAAACGTCTATAGCCAAAGCCCTCTCATCCCATTGGTCCATCCCCTAGAGAGAAGCTAATCTGCAGAATGTAAGAGTAGTTTTAGAAATATGGAAAGCAAAAAAGGAAAGTGGTCCAAAATGTTTCATAAACCTAGTGACTGCCAGAAAAGGAAACACAAATGAATTCTAAGTCTGTTTTTTACGTGCACAATTAAAAAAAAACCAACCCTGGATCACTGCTTAACTAAAACCCAACACAATATTAAGTATACCTTAAGAATGATAAGATAATCAAATTAGCAATTTTAGAAGCAATTTATCAGCTCTAAAAAGAAAAATAATTGTGGGATCAGTATCTATACCTGGTGACTGTGCGCCATTTTGGAGCTCATTACCTATGGTGGGACACCTTGCACAGCCTTGGTACACGGGGGAGGGTCTTGGTCCTTCCTCAACTGAATTTACCAGGCTCTGCTGATTCCCCATGGGAGCCTTACCTTTTTGGAGGTGGGGATAGGGAGGTAGGTTGGGGGAAATGCTGGCTGAAGCGTTAGGAGAGATGAGACTGGGATCTGTGGTTGGTGTGTAAAATGAATGAAAATTTCTTAAAGAACAAAAGAAGAAACACAATTGACAGAATGAATTCTTTGATGAGCATTTATCTGCGTATGACATCACATACAGAAAGAATAATAAATGGGGAAGCTTTCCTAGATTTGAGTCATCTTCCACACACCCGTCTTCAGCATTGTTAGGGACACCTGAAAATCGGTGAGCCAGCTGTGCCCAGGTTGGCTCTCCCAGGAGGCCTTTGTGGCTCAGAAGACAGGATACATAGACCCCTGCACTGCCCACTTAGTCACAGCTCACTATGTCCTTTCTCTGCTCAGCACTCCATGGCCTGAGCTTTCAAGCCATCAAGTGATAATCATGTCTTTGTCAGGAAAGTCAGAGGCTGCCACTTAGCTCATCTGAACCGGAGATGCTTGCCCTCCCTCCCTCCTTCTCTCTCTCTGCCTCTCTCTGTCTGTCTCTCTGTCTCTGTCTCTGTCTCTGTCTCTGTCTCTGTCTCTGTCTCTCTCTCTCTCTCTCTCTCTCTCTGATTCTCCCCTATCTCCCTCTCTTTTTAGTGTGTATACTGGTGTCTTGTGTAGAAATAATGAAGAGTGAGCCCCTCTCTGAACCAGGAAAGGATTGGACAGCTCAGGTGTCATACTTTCAGTCTTTCAACCAGCCACATGACTTTGGAGTGTTCTTACTTAACCCCTCTGGTATGCTGTATCCCAGCAACAAGTCCTGGAGCATTCTTGCTTTATCCAGGCCGTAGGTCCTATCCCTGGTTACAGGATTCACTCTACAAGGACTCAGTAAGGACTCTTCCTGCTCTTTGTTAGAGACACATGATCGAGAGAGACAAGGGTTGATTTAGAGGGAGGCCATGACTGGGAGCTGTGTGGGAAGACATCTAGAAGGATAGTATCCTAATGAAGGAGAGGGTGGGGTAGCTGAAATGAAGTCCAGGGAAGGGTAGCTCTGATAGAGATGGTAGAGGTATGGCCAGTAGATGGTCTGGAGACAAGATGGGCTACTTTTCCAGTGGAAAGGTGTCAAGGTTGGGGAGAAAGATGCACCAATTATGAGCCTTGACTGGCAGTGGTAGCACATGCCTTTAATCCCAGCACTTGAGAAGAAGAGCGAGGCAGATCTCTCTGAGTTTGAGGCCATCCTGATCTACAGAGTGAGATCCAGGACAGGCTCCAAAACTACACAATGAAACCCTGTAGGGAAAAACCAAACAATAATTATGAGCTCCAAGAAGAAGGTTGGAGCTGGGGATCTTCAGCAGTGCCCAGGAGAGAGGCCACTGAGAAGTCAGAAGACTGTGAAGCAGGAAGAGAGATGATGTGAGCATGACTGACTGTGCATCAGTACAGAAGTGAGGCAGGCTGAGGACAGTGGTGGGGATTTCTCATGTAAGTCAGCCTGGCCAACCAGGGTCCACTGTACACAAGGAAACCTGGGCCCTTGTAAAATCTCCAGGACTCTAAATGTGCCTTTGTGGGGCTCAAAGACCAGTAAAAATGGTTCTGCTGTGTAGATAGCTTACCACATAAACTCCCCTGGTGCTCTCTGAGAGGGGCCTGTTCTTCCTGGACTCAAGCTTAGGCTGGCATAACAAGCTCTCAGATATCCCCTGGTGGGGAGGTAAGAACATTCAACTTCTTCAGTGACACCCATGGAGAGTGAAGAACACTTACTAGTAGAAATTGTTTATAATGACTTAGTGTGTGTTGATTTGGCTGTGATACTTACTGCAGAATTATGTGTAAACAAAAAGCTGGGAAGGG